AGGGACAGCTTCCCTTGGCAGTTCCCACCTGTCAGCTCTGTAGAAGCTTTCTGAAACAAAAGGTTGCAAAAGCTGAACAAGCAAGCAAGTATTCATTTTTTCTGTTTAACACTTGCAGAATTTCAGTTTCACACTTCTCCCCCACGCCCCACCAAAATTTAAAGACAGACACCCAACACAGAAGGAGTTTCAAAACATGTTAAGGAAAAAATTGTTACAAGAAGGTTGGCAATAGTTTTTCACACAAAGTTACTATATAGAGCACAGTACATTTAAGGATTTATCTACTTTTTTGACCCAGAAACCAGAGTTATGTATATCTCTACGCAAGATGCAAGCACAAAAACGCTGGTGACAGCAAAACTAAGTATTTCTTGCTGAATTTAATAGAATTGTAGAGTCATAGAATATCTCAAGTTGGAAGGGACCCATAAGGATCATCGAGTCCAACTCCCTGCTCCTTGCAGGACTACTTAAAACAGAACCATATGACTAAGAGCATCATCCATCTTATTTGATGATATCAATGCAAGTCAAGAGGACTCACAACAGAAGTCATGCTTTCTCAAACACAAGTGTGGGAGCTCAGCCAACCAGGCTGAGCAGCTTCTCAAAGAGCACAGAATGAGTATGTTGCAGGAGTAAAACAGCACAGGAACTGGAGTATTCCTGACATATCTGAAAGCAAAATACAAATACCTTAAACCTTCCCTAGGAAGGCAAATAAAAATATTAGAAATATATGCTATACCTAATGGTTAGACAAATGGCTTCTGACTACTGGAGTCCTATGCTGGCTCTTCTTGTCTTGGAGTAACTACTTAATACAGCTCTGTTACTTGTATTGACTGCCTGACCCACAACCTCTGCTGTTAATTAAGCCAAGGAAACACAACACCAGAAAAGCAACAGAGGTCAAAGATTATATGTCATGCTGTTACCTGCATTTAAGAGGAACAGAGGCATAGGCTCAGGTAGTTTTACTAATGGCAGGGACAAGTACCATGCCAGATCCCACAACAAATGGGCAGCCCATTGTCTCCATTCAGGATAAGTACATCTCCTGCTTTTACCTCCTAGCCTTGAAGAGTAAAAGCACATCATTACATACCTTATGCTTATAGAGAGCCTTCCCAGCATGTGCCTTGGTAGCAATAGTTTTGCAGCTTCGCTTCCCTGTGAATTCTACTTTTGGTGCAGAACACCTAAATCCCATGCTGCAACGTGATACACACCTTGGCTAAATTATCTTATTATTTGTCAGTGAACCATGCACAGCTCCTGCTGGCCTGAATTTACAAGCAGACTAACATCACATTTTCAACTCATTATAATGTCATGGTGTGCTGATTCAATCTGCTCCATGACGCACCCTTAGCTTATTTTTGTTCACAGAAGTTAGAAACTGAAGAGGTGGACTGGATCAGTTGGCGCAGTTCAGGGCAGAATTATTTCCCACATTCACATGTTCAAGAATGGGTTATTTTGGTTGTTCTTTAAAGAAAAAAAAACCAAACCTGAACATTTCAAGCTGATCAGTAAAGTGCCTATAAACTTGCTATTTGTCCTAAATCAATGCATCTTCTTGACAGAGTCACAAGGCTGACAAATGCCAGCATAATGACCAGCTAGCATAGTTCAGCCACTTCATTTCCACAGAAGGCCTTTAATAAGCCACAGTGATATAGCCTACAATAAAAAGCTGCTTGTGTTTTTCCTTGAAGCGTGGCATCTCCCACATTCTTCTGGTATCTTCCAGAGGCAAATCTGTCTGGAAGCCTTTCCAGTTCTCAAACTTTAATGCAAACTCAATATGGCAGCCTCTATTAAAGTCAACTACAGTAAAATGCAATTGGCCATCAACAATCTCTTGTTCAGTCCTCATGACCTCTCTATAGCATGCTTCAAGCATCGTTTCCAAAATAACAGCTTTAAAACTTAACATTTCAACAGTTATAGGGTTAAGTCTCTTTGACCCTGTTCTGAATCCAAAGGCAGAGATAAGTACAACTAGTATATGCTACTGAAATTTTATGGAATATCAAAAGTTGTGTCAGGCACCCTTCTAAGCCAAGCCAAGCTAAACCATGCTAATGCTTTGGGACTGTGCTGCTCCTGCTGCAACTGAAAAGCTCCCAACGTGCTCTTATTCCAGACAAGATAGTGCATGACGTTTCCCCAATGCCCACTCTCCAAAAACCACCCTGAACACCTCTGCTTTGACACTGAAGCCATACCATGAAGAGGAACACAGAGAAGTGTCTTACGCATTCTTTATCTGCTTCACACTTGCAATTACAAAGGAGCAAAACAGCTTTCAAGTGCTTGGTCAGTTATTTAAATACTCTGTGCAACTACCAAACAGTTGAAAAACAAACAAAAAACCTTCCAAAAACCTCATCAGCGTGCAATGTTTGTCTTGCCTCTGTTTATAGGTGTACACAGAAAGTGTTTGTAACTACTCAAGATGCCAGATCTACACCTTTCTGCTTTAATGTTTTCACCCAAAAAGCCCTTCAGAGTTTGCTTTTTCTACTTCTGCCAGACATCTCTTCCTTATAGAAACAGCAACCCAGTAATAGTTTCTCCATCTGTTGCCATCCGTCAGTAGTGTAATTCTGGCAGAAGCTGACATAAATTTGTGCTGACAAGGAGGATCCTAAAGCTTTTGAATTGGTGCGATCATACTTTATTGAATCATACTCAATGAAAGGTCACGGTGATTGGAGGAAGTTCCCAATTCTGTAAAAAGTCAAATGTCATACTCATCTTAAAGAAGGGTATCAAAAGACTCTTGGGAGTCACAGGGCAATGGGTCAAGCTTCAGTCACTGAGAGGGTTATTAAACAATTTTCTCCGGAAGCTGTTGCCAAGCACATGGAGAATAAGATGGTGAGCAAAAGCCAACAAGGATCTAAAAAGGGTAAATCATGCCCGACCAATTTGCCTTTCAGGAGGCAGCCACTGACTCTGTGGACAATGAGAGAACAGTAAATGTTGTATACCTTGCCTTCAGTACAGTCTTCAGCATGGTCTGCCACAGTAACACTGGAGTTAGTTGGGGAGATACAGAGTCCATCAGCTAATAACAGGGTAGTGGCTGAAAAAACTGTGTGGACCACCCAGCTCAAAGGGTGAAAATTGGCAGCACGAAGTCCAACTGGCAGCCATGTAGCAGGGATGTCTCTCAAAGAATGATGTTAAGGCCAGTAGTTCTTTATGTCATTACTAATAACCTAGATGGAGGCAGAGTGCACTCTCAGCAAATAGGTGTAAGATACCAAACTGGGAGCAGTCAATACACTGGAGGAGGCTGCTACTCAGAGGAACCTGTACAAGCTTGACCATTGGGCTAGCAAGGAAGCTTGAGAAGTTCAACAAATGCAAGTATCGAGCCCTGCGCATGGGATGGATAACCCTACACAACAGTACAGGCCAGGGGCTGATAAGCTAGAAAGTAGCTCTGCAGAGAAAATCTGGGTGTACTGGTAGACAGCAAGCTAAAGAAGAGTTGGCAGTGTGCCCTTGAAGGCTAATCGAATTGGTTATTCCCTTCTATTTGCTATTTGTAAAGCAGTGTGCCCTTGCAGCAGACAAAGCCAGCTACATACCATGATGTAGGATAGCAGGCTAATGGAATTGGTTATTCCCTTCTATTTGCTATTTGTAAGACCACATCTAGGGTAGTGTGTCCAGTTTTGTGTTAACAAAAAAAAAAAAAAAAAAAAAAAAAAAAAAAAGACAGAACTTGTGCACCATTATGAAGAATTTAGACTGATTTTAGGCTGATGCTCTGTTCATTTCTCCTTTTCAGATTTCATTTTCTTACTTTATCATACTTAAAGAGATTAATCAAAGGGAAAGGAAATGCTTTCTATTCCCTAGAGTATAAAAAAAAAAATTGTGGGGGAGGAATCTTTATTTTCTTGGAATCTCATACCTGCCATGGTAGTTGAAGATTCAGCTATTATGAATTAGGAGTTTTCATTCCCCAGATACATTAGCACAGACTTGTCTTAAGCATAGATAATGTGAAATATACTTTTAAAACCTGAGGAATTTATGAAGTGAAAAATAAATCTTTCCATTACATCTGGATAAAGGTCCATATAAATTGCCCCCTGCTTTCCAGCTATGCTTCTACGGTTGCATTTTACCACAGGACAATAATTCGTAATACAGCAACATTTAGATAAGATAGTTTGAACTTCTACTCATAAAAGGGTTGGTAGCATAAAGGCTTGTTTCTTCAAGTCACTGCTTTTAGTAAGCCTATTTTTTTCTTTTATGAAAATATGTTCTTCAACAATCGTTAACAGCCCATCTTAGTTCCATTTTGCAGAAGGAAGCAATTTGTTGAACTATTTATCATGAAAGTGAATGGCAATATGTACTTAAAAAATAAAAATATGAAGGACTGAAGAACACTTCTTTAACAAAACAATATGACTTCAATTTTCCCCCTCACTTTCCACAATAATTTTAAAGCAACTGCACAAGGGAAAAAACAGTAAACAACTTTTTTATTAGTTTCTCATATTACTGCCTATTGCACTATGCAAGAACATTGTCCAATATTCACAATAAGGATATATAATGAATATACAGCTTCCTGTAGCTTTCTCCCCTGCTTCCCAGTAACAGATTGTGTGAAACAAACCCTATGGAGTTGCACTGGGTTGGTTTTTTATTCAGCCTCCTCACTCCGATCACATGAGGTGGTTCAGTGATACAGATGTTAAATCTCTGGGATTAATTTAATCAGTTCTGCATTAAAATGTCAAACTTCTTTAAGAGAGAATAGGGCAGAAGTGCAGAGAGGAAAACAAATGCTCTTGTGTTGGCCTTCACCTTCTCCTCCTTTCTCCTCAGTGACCTCTATCTCAACAGATGAATGGATTTAACCAAGCGCAGTAAGTATTCTCTCCAGATGTTAAGTAGCAATTTTGGCTTCTTGTGCTCTTCCAAAAAATGTAAATTAACATAGGAATTTCACACAAGTCAGCTGATAGAACATGATCTCATTCCTAAAAGGTTTGTACTGATAGACCAACCAATTTCTGTCATTGCACTATCATAAAACACTGTGAGCAAATTGCTATCAAAACAAATATACCTTTGAGCTGCTGAGAATTCAGAACCTCTTCATATATTCTTCAAAATGACAAAACAGATAAAAATTGAATTTTATCACTGTGAGCAACTTCCCCATTTCAAAATTCACCTTGCAGAATAAGAGATAAGAAACTTAAAAACAAGCCTGAAATACATAGCAACCTCACATCCCATCCCTAAATGCTTATTTAAGGTCTACCATTTAAGTGATACCCAGCTTTACAGGATCCTTCTTTCCTTTCTCACCTTCAGTTAAGATTTTATGACAGCCATATACACTAGCCCTATACAAAGCCACAAACATCTGTTCTCAACCATGAGCTCATTGACTACTGACAGGAAGCTGTGACAGTGGGCAGGATGCTCCTGTCCTGTTCTTGGCACTTTTCTATGGACTTTCCCCAAAGAGTCCTGCCAGTTCTGTGGAAAAAAAAAACCAACAATCATTTTTCTATATTGCTACTAACTTTTTCAGCTACATTCCTCACACCTGTAATACCTGTACAGCAGAATTGACAGTAATGGGGATGTAATTGTGCTTGGAAGTCTCAGTCTGTGTTGGATCAAGCTAGTTCTGCCAGAACAGATCATATAGCTCTATACATCTGCCCTGAGAGCTAGATAAAGAATGTAAGAAGGGATTTCCTACAGATGCTGCTACCTGTCACCAACAAGACAGCTGGTGCTTTCTTGCAGCGCTTTACTTGTTTATTTCCTTGTTTATTTGGGGGTTGGACTAGATAACCTCTAGGGGTCCCTTCCAACCCAAAACATTCTATGATTCTATGATTCTATGATTCTTCTGTAGGACTTGCAGCTTCCCACTATGCTTATTAATTTCTTCAGCCAATAGATAGTTCTATGCCACTTGATCATATTCCACACGAAATACTGATTCGCAAAGTTTTGTCTGTGAAGGCATGTGTTCAGAAGGCAGATTTTTTCAGACAGACCTTCCTATTCTTGCCATTTTTAAAAGTTTTGATTGCTTGTCTATATGCATTATGACACAGCTGTTTATTATGACATTCCAACCAGACCACATTTTGAGACAAATCAGAGCTACATAAAGAATTTTGTGATGTTTCTTGTGCTCGATCTTCACAGAAGTTAAAAGTTGTGTAGCAAAAGAGGCAAGACACCACAGAAAGCCAGAATATCTGAAAAGCCCAGGCACCTTGACTTCTGTGCCAGGCTCTGGGGCACTGGGCTTCAGGTACAGAATGCTCTACCTGTTGTAGGCCAGTGTGTGTTGGAGTAGGTTGTTAATCTTAGCTCAATTATCCTCACTTAACCAGTGCCAGTCCACAAACGTACAGACTTCTGCTCATGGTTCCTGGGTACGTGCAAATGCTCAGAAACCATTAGGGTGCATTCCCAATTTGAATGTTATCCTCTGCCTAGCCTAAAAAAACTGCTTTAGAGCAGAGAAAAGCTTGATCTTTCATGAATAGGGAACACTGGACTAGGATGAACTTAGAAGCCCAAGAGAATGTTCATTCCCTAGCATCCTCTTCAAGATGGGAAACTCTGCCTCTATTAATGAGGCAAATATTCCAACCTATTTTGAAATCAGTAAAGTTATAATAGCTCAACAAGGGTTTTAGAAGTGACACACAGCAAAACCAGTCTGTTCTGTGATCAAAACTACAGTTAAAAGTTTCTATAATTGGGGTAGAGGAGCAGCTTTCCATGGAAAGCTTTATGGTGGAACAGTAGGGCCAAGACTTTCATATCTGCCTATTACCATTGAGGATGTCAAATGGGGAATAAGTTATGGTAAAAAGCTTCACTGTGCTTTGAAAAAAAAACCAACCACATCCATTACATGAAGCATGCTGACCACACAGATTGGATCAATGTTGCAAATGTACAGCATGGTGTCAAGAACATACAGTCCTTGGCAGATGCTGCAAAGGTTTATGCTTGGAGCTCAGGAAGCAACTAGAGATCGTGGCTTTTCAGAAATCCATTGCAGCACAGCTAGGGAACACGTCCCCAGCTGCAGGGCAATGTTATGGCCTTCCTTCTCATACACTATGCTTGAAAGATGTCAGGAGTCACAGAACTTGTCCTGTCCTCCATGTAAAATAGTTCTTAATTAGCATAAGCAGCTTTCAGGTTTTTGCAAGTAACACTAGCAGGACAACTGCCTTGCACACAGGGAAGGGAATTATATGGTAAATTTGAGAACAGCATTTACTTCAGAGCAAGGGCTTACAGAAAAGTCCTAGAGAACCTTCATTTTTTATTTATGGTTTTGAATTTGCATTTCAAAGGGTTGGGTTTTGGGTTGCATTTTTTTCCAAAAAGGTTTTGATTAGTAAACTTAATACTTGCACCATTTCAAGCCTACCCATAAAGAAACACTATAGAAGTGGAATTCAAAACATTTCTGGATGAGACGATACTGTAACAAACACAACATCTGTAGTTGCCACTTGCAGTTCAACTTTGATAACCTACAATCTGACACATTCATCTTTCCAATACAATTGGCAAGTTTGAAGCAGTTCCTTCCATCAGGAATTCTCACACCAGAACTTTAAAAGCAATTGTCATCATATTCCAAAAATTTTGCACGAGCTTTCTTAAACTGCCTAAGCTGTACAGTTGCAGAACATGCAAGCAAAAATAAATGGTTGGCTTTGGACAAGCTGCTTCTTTTACCAAAGCTCAGTGTAACTATGGCTGGTTGCTTCATCTGTGTTGCAATTCAACCCAAGACTGAGACACCTAAATAAGAAAAGAATGGCAAAGATCATTAACCCACAGGT